GGATTATCCGGTGCCCCGTTCAGTTTCCGACCTTGCATGCCCCTCGTGATTGATAGGTTGGAGGATGTGGCCGTGTATGGAGACGACATCGTATTATGCAGTGAATCGGAAGCAGAAAACTGATGTTATTTGGTAGCAAGTTTGCAACGACTCCAACAGTCGGGATTACGGATAAATGTTCCTAAATCTAGAGTCGGAAAATATGCATAACACTGCTTGATCACAAGCTGGGTCAGGGATAGCTGAATCCGCTGTCGGAGAAAATAGTAACAATTCGAGGCAACCCCGTTCCGAACTCCATGCGCAGTCTTAGGACATTTTTGGGACGCGCCGAATACTACAGTAACTTCGTCAGGAATTTTAACGGTTTGGCGTCAAATATGTTCGACTTGTTGGGAGAGGGTAATAAATTCAGGTGGACCTCAGGGACTCAGCGAGGGCTTGGCGACATTCAGAAAGAAATGGGAAGGTAGTACCTTGCGTTGAAATTGCCGATCGTCGAAGAAACGTTCACGGTGACGACAGACGCAAGTGACGTCGGAACCGGTGCGGCAAAAATAGGGGGTGAATGCATATGCTAGCAGCATTATAACCACATCAGAACTCATTTGTTCGACAGTAGTGAAATAGTGCTGACAAGAGTTTCGTTAGGAGCAGAACTCGAACCTGGTGTCAGGGTGCAACACAGCATGGTGGGTGTAGAGATGAACTCCAACGCCATAAACTTGGGAGAACTAAGTCACCCAACGTAGCCAATGCACTCAACTGCCCAGATAAGAGAAAGCCGCATATAAACAGAACATCGCAAAATCCCTCAACAATAACCACCAACTGCTCTACATACATGTCAATGGCCTACGAAAAGCGAAGAAAGATTTCCTCTACCAAAAAATGCCAGTAACCAACAAAAACGGCTGTGGAAACAACAAACGCACTGCAAATGCATGTGCATCCAGATTTTAGTATGTCTTGCAACCGAGCGATCTTCCAGTATTTGTCGCCTCGCCGCCAGGATTAACCCAAACATCCTTTACCGCGGAAGCTGTATTTTGAAAGCTGACGTCTCTACACAAACACAGTTCGCCGGGTGTTGATACTATTCGTTCCGAGGCACTGAGCGTAGCAGCAAGCCAACCAGCAGGATAGTTAACTGCTTTTCCAGCGTTAGTTGGAGCAGAACCAGATTCCGGTTATGTGGAAGCGTGGAATAATAATTTCAAATTACGAAAGTGGAAGCAGAACTGAGCCCTCCAACTATCACGCAATATCAATCCTCTGTGTACTACCTAAGGTCATGGAATTAATTGTTGCCCACACACTGATAGGTTAGCTGGAAAACTATAACATATGCACGCCAAAACAGCACGGCTTCCGTCGACAGCAATCATGCACAATGAACTTATTAATTGCACAAAGCATTGGGATCTAGTCAGCTGAAGCTAGAAAAGAGGTTGATTGATAAAGTTGGATTTCCGAAGGCTTTCGTTAGCTTAAATGATCGGATACTACTTTCCAAGCGCCCTAATTGCGAGATCCGTGACCCTCTTCTAAGCAGGATTGCAAACTTTCAAATAAAATGGACTCGGTGTTCGGAGTTTCTTATCGGACTCCGTAATAGTAGAGAGTGGTGTACCGCCAGGCTCAGTTATAGGGAGTCATTCAAATGCATCAGGGTCGGATGGAAAGTTTGGCTGTTCTGGTAAATCACGCTTATATATTTATTGCTAAATACCATTCGAATGGTCTCTGGAGTTTCACCTTTGCAGCGCAGGCGGCTGATCGGACCAATGCTGGCCCAACACTTTGCATTTCGTAGGTGCAAATCACATGCCGGGGCGTGCATCGTTCCACGGCCATCGATTTCGTTTTATTACACAGCTCCTAGGTCAGAATCAGGACGGTTATGTCCTCCCCGTAGTCAAGGATTTCTGTTGGTCACCTGACAGATCTATATGTACCACACTAAGGCAGCAGAGTGAAATCCATCACCGACAATAAGCTATTTCGGGCACTTTGTAGGGAGCTGCTCGTACCTGCCTCCTCTGTGTAGCGAAAATGGCGTATTATGAAGGTTGGTTCCGTTAAGAGGCAGATAACATGCTTTGGACCAACAATTGATGGCATTCATTTGACTTTGCAACCCGAGAGAGCAATCGGTGTTTAGTTGATTGACACCTAGTATGTTGCAGTCAGCATAGATTTTTGGAGTAGCTTTTGTGGTGGAGGCTATTATTGAGCTGATGTAAGGAGGTGCATGTGGAGGCACAACATAACCATGGACCAAGTGGAATGATTTCATTCACAGAATTTTGTTTGGCCTTTGACCATGATGTTTCTATGTAACTTGACTGGCTCGCTACATTTCTGTTTCGACGTTTGCTTTTCCTGAATATCTATCAAGCTCCGCGCGTGCAGGTTCGCCTTCCTATTTGAAGAGGTTGTTCAATTAAGGTGAGAGCGTTTAAAGAAAGTTACAGCATCTCAGTTCGGTCTCACACAGCTCGTACAAACGATGATCTCGACGTTTCCACTAAGTGTATAACCGGTCTATTCTTGGGAACGATCGCATCACACCGGTAGCAAGGAAAGAGTCCAATAAATGTCGACCTGTCGCATGCTATTCTGTTGCTTAGGCGACTCACGAGAAATGCATTCCTGAAATAATACTGTCCCAATCCCACTCAAAAGTCCCCTTGAAACACCTAGCGTTGTTCCAGATCTACCGTAGATGCAGTATTTCGCCTTGTACGTTCTATGCTGTTCTCACTTAATAAGAGAATTAGATGAACTCGTACGTGTTTTCTTGAGTATGATAATGTGTTCTGTTGTTTTAATCACGAAATACTGCTGAATGATCTATGCATTCGAGGAATATCTCTCTCCGTTATCCAATGGCTGAATGGTTGTTTTGCTGGACGCCCACAGGTTTCACGAGTCAGTGGCATATACTCCTACCTGCAAAGCAAGATCTCGTGAATTATGCAGCGAGTAAATATGTTGACTCATAACTTTCTACTTACATTAGCTCAATAATAGCCTTACAGTACGTGACGCCTGCTGTATCAAAGTCGTGCCTACTCGCCTTGTAACAAAGTGCCGCAGTCGTAGTACGGTATTAGCGCTCTCAGTGGAGTACCTCTTAAGAAATCTCTCTTTTACATAAAGGGGTCATATTTTAACCCATATTTCAGGGGCAGTTAGCGCAGTCAACTTGTTAAGTTTTATTTACAGGGCCGCCAAAAATTTTGGTCTAAAGTGCCCACTAACATTTGAGATTCTACATCTGTGTCTATCTTAATATGTGGACATACCAAACCTATCCGTGTGCTGGTATTTCATCCTTAATGTGTTATCCAACAACCATCGTCTTCTGATGTTCTTATTTAGAATTATAAATGGGATTTAATGTGTAAAATTATGTTCTCAAATAACCTGAGTCGCACCGGATGTAAATTAGATTAGGTGGTTCAAATGGACGCATACAATTTATCATGCCAGTATCACTGCTAAATTACCCATTAACACTTTTTTATTGGACGTTACTAATTTAATTTTACTCTCTAAATGACATCCATCCTACGGTGTATCTCAAACCTTAACTATTTAAGCCGTTATAGACAATTTGTACTGCCTTCTGCGATTATGGGCTACGTGTGCATCCACAATGAGAGTAAGCGACGCCTGCTGTTAAAATGCAGTGCCTTCTCGCCTTGTAACCAAATTGTTGCCCTGGCGAGACCCAAAAGTTCGAAACGCTGGCGTCTAAAGATTTTCCAGACTAGACTAAACAAGTTGTATGTTGCGAACCTATATGCGTATTGCGGTGGACAGAAATCTCCGGAATACGACTGAACAGTTCCTTTAGTTTCCTGCGTCAGCAAAACAAAATTGGTAAGAATGATTCAACCTCTAAATCACCGAGCCTAATAAGCTACTTCCACTGTCCACTAAAACAATAGCAGACCCAAGTAGAGTGGATAAACAGATACTACTAATGCTCATATCCAGGAAGGAACAAGCGCACGCCGATTGCAACTGTAGTGAGTCAGCATCAATGTACACTTTATTCTTACGTAGATTATCTTCCTGTTACTCGTTCACGTTAACAATACAAACTGACCAAATGCAGTTCTCATTCGATCGCAAGGAATCCCCAGAGCGCACAGGCACCAATCCGAGCGAGACTATTGCCTTTAGCAGTTATATGGTGTTTCATTGGTAGTATTCCGAGTACGTTTGTTAACAACCAGCTAGTGTTGTCGTCCTCTGTATGTGTCTCTGCCGCATTCCCCGCGTTTCCGACAGTCGGCAAGGAAGTGAAATCGGTAACTCCCACCCGGGCTCTGACTATATCCCAGCGACCTCTGATCAAGGAAAATAAGGTCGTATGGCATGATGTCGTTATGCGATTGCAGCATAAATCAAATCAAATATTCGTTTGTTTGCCCTGATGCGGTGAACAGAGTGGATCTGAGACCCATTTTTCGATCATCAAATCACCGTATCGGCAGCTTACAAAACCTTGCCGCCTTACCATGGGAGAATTTCAGTTGGACTGTTGTTGGATCCAGCTGTCTAGTACAGATGGCTTACAATCGGTCGGCATCGGATGAAATGTACTCGAGCAATCATATGAGATGCTGACTGTCGTCGATACGTCAAACTGTCGCTGCATCCATCGCAACTGGGTCACATTTGGTTGCAATGTGGTTACCCTCCCCGGCATCGCCTCCTACAAGCTTCATCTAAATCTAGCTATCTATTGTTTAGTATCATCCAGGGAAAAACATGGCTCTATTTCCAGTTCGGCTAACAGCATATCACTCATCAGTTTGGTCAACATAGTCTGTGTGAAACCTAATGCATTCATTTTCCGCATTAAATCCACCCTGACCTAAAGAAAGCCTGCACATTACCATAAAGAATGCAACCGTTATTTTAAAATTGTAATTTTGCAACCGAAACCTTCGACGCATCATGATTTAACAGAAGAAAATACATCACACATTGGAATGGATACCTTCTCTATCCTCCGTTATGTACTTTGTTCCAGAAGTCGTAATGAATTTCGGTTTATTTGATGATGCAGTTGATGCAGTTGAATGAGTCCTAGCGGCGGAAATGCTTTCCATTGTATTGGTGACTTCTCCTGAATAATTAAAAAAGTAATCAAATTGATGTATCCCATTACGAACACAGTTGACCTAGAAAAGCAACGAACTACCGTTATGTGTAGATATATTACCAAATATAAATGAGATGCATATGAACCAGCATGTGTTTTACCTTATTATCAACTAACGTTGTTTGTTAAATTCGACTTAATCGTAGACTTGTCATTAGGCAGCGTTTGACCTCTCCTTCACACGATTTTCTGCAGATGCTTGCAAGAAGCATCCTCCATCAACGTCAAGTTTGAATATGTATGAACATGTGTGCGTAATAATACCTTCTGATTTTGCACCGAAGTGGAGTGACGCAGTGAATTTGGACAGCGTATTTATAAATACTAGTCCAGGCATCTCAAAACTAGAGCAGCTTCAGAGTTTCGGTTTCAATATTTCTATCATTACACGGGCATTACCATGATAAATATGGATTGCATGCATTCGGAGCCAATATTAGGAGAGTCGTAAAGTGTTGATTTCTTAGGGATATTCCTTTTTCATTTTTGTTCTATACGTAAGGTCTCGGTAGATCAAATCCCTTACATTTTTCGTGAATCAAAAATGTGTTGAGGTTTCTTTAACTAGAGCCATTTGGCAAACTTAAGATTGCAACTTTATATCCGGCAATTCAGCTAATGGAATTCGTGTGCCTCAACAAGTAAAACTCACTGCTAATTGTACAAATTTATGGTGGCATATATCCCCGGTTTTTAACTAGTTAAAACCAAATGTTAGATATATCCCTTGGGACTTTTGAGCGAACGTGCAAGTTAAATGTCATTGTCTGTGTAAATGTGTCTCCCGTTATGCATAATTCAGCAAGGATTTCAGACTAGTGCAAGTGTGAATATTCCTGCCTGTATTTTTATGCTATAGTGCCTTTAGCGTAGCCCGGATAGCGATTCCAAAAGACAGATCAGGTTGCAGGGCTACCGCTAAATTTGTGAGCCTGACGTGACTGCCTGGTTGTGTCTTTTACCAATATTGCACTTTTGGATAAATGGAGAACAGCAGGGATCGCGCAAATCATCAAAAGATAAAAATTAGATCCCGCGGATTTTCTGCGCATTTGATGCACGTTGCGTTGTTCTTATAAGTCTACTGAAAACGGGGTGGCAGACAAAGTAATTGTGGTCAAAAGGAAAAAAATGGGAAGGATTGGACACGGAGGAATAGGATATGGGTGGAAGTCCCTTTAGTTCCGATGGAAATTGTACAAGTTAGGACAGGGAAGATTATCTCAGGGCCACAGTAAACTACAAACAAGATGAGGAAAATTGTGATGAAAACGGGGAAAAGTGGAACTATAGTGACCTGAGAAGAACAGGTAGACGATGAAATTGCTCCAACAATAGAAATCGTAGTAATTCAACAGACGCATTATCAAAGATGTTTGGATGACGCACTCATCCAATTACGCTTTGTTATGCAACACTATGTCTCTACCCTACTCCCAGAATGGACTTAGTTCCTTACTGTTACACATGGGTTCTATGAAAAGTAGCAGATTGCAGGACCGCCGCACAATAAGGAATAAGTCCCTCTTTACATAGTTATATACTGACTGCTTTATTGGTATTTTTCGGATAACCTCACCGAACCATCTAACGGGCTTATAAGGCATGTTACTTAACTTGTATTAATTATATATTTATTCATTGTTCATTTTATCACACACATTGTATAGAACCAAATTGTGTCCGATGTGCAATGTCCTCCTTTAGTTTTTTAGTAGTTAACTTCCTGCGTTTGGAATGGAATTTATTAATGAATAGAAAACAAGTTATTCCAATATGTTTAGTCTCCGATCACATTGCTGAATCGCTAGGTATTTTTGTCTGGGGCTGCGTAGAGCATGTACACCTCGGTAATTATGTTACTATGTTGTGAACCGTGCCGAAGTGTCCGTCATCTGGGTTAATTGCGTATTGGAAATTGGTTTCATTTCAACGAAAGAAACAAGGTCATCGCCTGTTTGGGTAACGCGAACGACCGTTGCCTTAAGTTAGCATGGCTTGCAAGTAGAAAGGTAACAGTTCAGACTTAGTAATATATGGGAACATGCACTGATATTGTTGAACAGATAAACATAGATCACGAAGAAGCAAAATATGGGTAATCAACCAATAAAATATTTGAAAAGTTTATGGCAGACGCCTGTATTTATTAAGGTTTAGCATACTCAAGTAGTTATTGCAATAATTACAGCACATGGCTGTCGCCTAAGCTGGCATACCTGTTGTTTTCGTTGATATAGGTGGGTATACAAAATCAAAATAAGCAAAGTAGGTTAATCCTCTTTCAGAAAACTTGGCAGCGAGTAGCTCTAGAGTGTAAACCTATTCAATGGAAAGCGTGTAATGTCAAGCAATTCATTGATTCGTTCAGCAATTGCGTTTGACACTGGTAACTATGTATGTTGCTGGGTCAGATAGACTTAGTGTTGGCCGTCCGAAAACTTGTCTTTTACCACCGGTTCCAAAAGTTACAATCTCGGAATCAACCAGTAGCGTGATGTTGAACACATCGCGGCAGTCGCCTTAGTTTATCTGCAATGCATGGTTTTTAGGCATATACCACCGTTTTTGCTTAATCAGCATAACGTCGTTTGTCGATGTAGTATGAATCAGAACTCTATGCGCAGTGCGCGATGCTGAAATCTAAAGAAACAGTACAGAAATTTTGAAATAAATAAAACTGATATCGTTACTCCCTCGTGTACTCGTGCGTTTTTAGTGATCAGCATATATATACTATTGCTTTTAATATGCAGGCTGATCTATTAACAGTCTTCATCATTAGGACTCATAATTTTGGAAAAATCTTGCCTTTTTTGCACGAAGAGTTCTCCGTAATTTCTGATATGGCAAAACTTAATTTAAGGAAACTTGTGTATCATATAATTTACCAAAAGATTGTCACGCAAGCGCATTGATATTGTTGTTGATATGTCGGATTGTCTAAATATGTCCGGAAATTAACTGTGCGACGTGCTAAACTGCATAGATTTCACTTTCTAAATTTTTCATCAACTATAACTAGCAAGTGGTAGAAAATATGATGGTTTTAGTCTCAAAACTGAAAATAATCAATGACCACAAAGTTAAATTCGGTCGAATTGATTTTATCGTACTGCAACAACGGAAGTTTCCAATTGCTTGCATGATAGACACAGAACAATTCGTGCGCTACAACAGAGGGCCAATCTTGCAAACACAAGTGTCGCACCGTTGCAAAGTTTTGCCGATGTGGACTGAAACTTTTCACACACTTTAACATTTCGTGAGGTATATAATTTAGTGCACGGCACTTCGTTTCTTTATATACGCTGCAACACCAAAATATAATAGTGACAGACAATTTTACGCATTTTGCATCTACACTAACGATATATTTGGTTGTACTGAGTTAAACTACAACTTATTGCAAATGATCACATCTCATCATGAACGAAATTCACCGAATTCATCTGAGGTCCTACGCTTAGCAGTAGCTACATGATAAGATGAAAATTTATCATTTGTTTAAAACTGATTTTTGGTAAATTGCGCATGCATATCTTAACACTAGAGCAAATAAATGTTAATAAATCCTTAACTTTATGGACGTTTTTGGTAGCATAATGTATAATTAGTAGAGCTATTCGAAGAAATTTTTCCATTGTGCTTTTTTGTATTGCTTTGGCGCGTATTCGACGGATAAAAGTACGTATCATTGCTGAACGCAATTTATTCACACCTTTCCGCAGCTTGTCCTTGTTACGCACATTTAGGTTCATGTAACTCCACGTCTTTCGTTCCATTTAAGATTCACAGAAAGCTTTTCCAAGTTTGTTCACAAATCTAATGGTAACCAAATAGCTCAGAATATTTGCCTATGCATGTTAAAAACATGCAATCTATGTCACACATACTGTGGATTTCTGGGTGTGTTTAGTGCTACGTTCTCCGCTGTCCTCATGTGAATGAAAACAATGCTGTATGATCCGTATCAAGAGCAAATCTGTGCCCAGCTTGTGTTATGGCATAATGATGCAACGAAGATAGCATATAACGATCGGCTAAATAATGTGAGTCAAGCTTATCACATAGAAATATTAATGCCAATTCTCATGAATTAAATAGTCCCTGAGTTTCGACGTGGTTTATGCAATGATTGCTTGTCATTGGAGTGATGCTTACCAAATTCAAAACTTGCTCGAAATGAGGATAGGGAATCTGCAGTTCCCGTTAAAACTATGATGATTACATTGGAAGAACTACTAATTGTTTGAGCTTTTGATTTTAAAACTCCCTTGAAATTTTGAATTGGTTTGGCATCGCAATCCGGACCATCCAAGATTAAAAGGAGACCGTAATCCCTTTTAAGCTGTTGGACAAAAAATAGTACGATTTATTAGTATTACCATCTTTCATCAAAGCACGTTTGAGTACGAAATTCATGACTAATAAAATTATGTAATTTCACAAGTGAATTTGCTGACACATGACCAGTAAATATATAACTTCCAGTAGAAAGGCTGTCATTATAAATACTCCGGAAACGGTACTATTCAGGATTTCAGTTCAGAATTCTGTCCGGTACTCAATCCTGATCTCAGCTGTTTAACCGGTACTATGAAATTGTCAAAACTAGGCGCGTAATTACTTCGGCATATAAGGTTACCCATGTAAAATTTTAGGTAATCGCTACGGTCTTCAATCTTTCATAAAAGCACTCGATCCTTTTCGTATTATGGGAATCCGTCAGTATAGCGCATCCGCAGTCATTAACAGGAAACAAAGAATCATTGATTTCATGACATCAATGGCTTATGCCAATAATCCAAGAGTGGTGGCCACAGAGCGCTCTGATTCGCCAACCTGTAAGTGATTCACGTAACAGAATGACCAATAGTGTAAATCATTGACCGTTTGTAGAAGATTGCGTGGAATACGACAGCCCTTAACACTTTTAAACAGGCCTATTCAACGCCGTGTGGCTTTAAGCTTGTGGAAGCTGCATTAAACAAAATGTGGCGCACTGATAATGAGTACTATGGTGAGACGAGCAAGCGCCATCAACAGCGAATTATGAATCACCGAGGAGGACGTGCGCATAGTGCACAATACAACTACCTCCGAAGACGGATGGCACTGACGCCTTGAACCTATGCCGTATCCTTTCGTCAAGGTGAGTTGATAGCACAATGCACAAAGTGGAATCAAATAGCGCTACGAACGAAGTGCGCCAAAGAGTACGACTGTTCTAGGTTAGAGATGTTATACGGTGTTTACATTCGTTCTTCAATACACATCTCGTTCGCACCGTACCACCTTCTCCACATATTGTGACATGACCAGCCGGAGATGGAAAGTGAAAGATGGTGAAGGTGAAGATGGTTATGTGCGGAGATTTCTGGAGGCTTTCTACGATGTCGCAGAAACAGTCAGGGGGAAACAAGGACGAACAAAGCTGGTTCCGCTTCGGTGGCTACTCAAGGGAGGAGCGAGAGCGATGCTGGAGGCGGCGAGAAGAGGTCCAGTCAATGCAGAATGAGTTTCCGCGAAGGAGGCAATGGTCGCGTGGTTTGACAGTCCGACCGAACTCCAGGATGCCATGTGGCGATTCAAGGCCGCCCGGCTTGGGCTAGGAGCGGCTTCCATCGTGTTTGCGGTCAATTTCGGTGGCCTGTTGGATCGGGCGCTGCCAGACTCGGACGACCGGTCAAGATAGCAAGTGTTAGTAAAGCAGTTTTTAGACGGTCTTCCTACAACTATGGCTGATCGATTGTAGATTATGAATGTCACTCTGAGAATGGGCATAGTGGAACTTGCTCGAGTGGAAAGTGTGTTGGTACAGGAGCCAGGACAAGTTATATGAGAATTTGGAGCAGATTACGCACATCATTCGTGGTGCCATTTGATTCCACGCTTTGCATTGTGCTATCAACTCAGCTTGACTTGACGGTACAGTATAGGTTTAAGTCTCTAGTGTTATCCGTTTTCAGGGATAGTTGAATAGTGCACTACACGCCCGTTGTCTGCGGTGATCCATTATTCTCTGAGTTCATTGCGCCTGTTACTTTCACCATACTTCTCATTAGTAGTGCACTAGAAAATACTGACTGCAACCTGCAAAAACGCATAGGCACTCCAATTTTCACAGATTATAATACATTTTACTATTCAAAATGCCAAATGTTAATTACCCTCAGTTCCTCTACCGTTAGTAAAATTTTGCCCCCAAGGTGGTTCTTGATTCTCCAAATGCAAAGGAAATGTAATTCGTTTTGTGCGGTCCAAGAAATCGTTCTCGGTGATGTTGTATTCAGCTCTTCGCCACAATTATCTACATAATAATAACACATGTTGGAAGTGAAAAATGCAAATGAACATAAATTGGTCGATTAATTACATTTGACCCCGCGGTTGGCAAACCACGATTATTCAAAGGTTTGTCTCATTTTTCCATTGATATATTTTGAAATATGTTCCCAAAGCATAGTGGTATATCTAACAGTGAATTCGGGCATACTATGTTATATAATGTACCTATTCTCTGCGGTGTAAAACTATCGGTTTTAGAGATAACAGCTAAACGTATACTGATAAATGTATGGGGTTGAATAAGTAACGCGGTGTAAAGGCATTTCCAGTAATCCACAAAATGCGATACTCAATAATGTTGCACGAATTGCTCGTGAGCATTGAGCACAGTCCCTGTTTCATAGTATCTATCCTGTGCATTGATCTGATTACAGTACTATGATGTGATGCAATACCAGTGTTTATCATGTTAAACACAAGTCAATTTCAACGACACTGCCACTTAAATTTTATATCTAGTTGCTTTGTCTGAATTTGGTGTAGTTATGCTTTGATACCTTGTAACTGAGAAGCAATGCATACTTTCATCAACACCAGCAATTAATGTTATTGATATGGAATCATTAAGTCTTTCTGGGACAACCGGTTTATTAAACAAAGAAGTCTCAGCAAAGGAAGAGCATTCCCAGACTGAAGAACACTCAATTTATATAACTAAGTAATTTCCATAACTAAAGCTTTCTGCTGGTCGCATGCAAAACTTACACTGCGTCGGTCAAGCAAATTCAATACTTGCAAGCAAAATGTTAACCAATGGGTCTAGATGGGCAGATGGGAATATTTTCAAACATCTGCTCAGTTCACTTGCGCCAATCAGGCCGCTAGCCTTGTCGCGTAAGTCGATTTTGTCTCACAGACTGCAGATTTCCACCACAATTACTATGCAAGTTTTTTGCTGGAGAGACTCTCAAGCATTATCATCGGAGGATGCATGCTACCAAATCCATTCTAATCGGGCCCGTAGAAACCGTACTTTGGTGCAACGCGGTTCCGCTAGAATGTTTGCACTGACTATCCCTTATTTACAAATTCAGGTGTTGTGCCAAAATAAGTTGGCGGAGGCAATGCTCGACTCCGCTTGACTTATGCTCGTTAGTGGCTTTTACTAGTGATTTGACATGTTGGTCGCTCTATAGTAAAACCCCATCCATTACATGCCTCAGTTGGTTCATCTTATGTGTTTGCATGCACCGCCCACGCAACTTACTGGCAATGGATACTTATATTACATAAATAGGTTGGCCAATTGTAGATTCAAAATTCCTTCATTTAACCATTTGCTAACAAATCCTGAATATGATTTTAGTAACCCACTATTCATTGTTGACAAGCAGTTAACCTGCAATCTGTTCAGGGTGTTCTGCTTATCGCTCAGAAACTGACAGACTAGTGATAGAAAACCATTCCATGGGACTCCGAATGTTACCTTTCTACTCAAATAAGTCCACTGAGTAAATAGAAATTACAACACGCATCACACAGGATTGGAAAATTTCCTCTACTATAAATGGTTGTCTATTACAAGGTGTACGAAGAGGTGCACTGAACTGGACTAATATATTGTCCACTTTATGAATGAGATGTGTCTAGTGCTGAATCCGTGGCAAAGTACACATTCACTGTTTGAAACCGTTATCCCTGAGGGTAGTTTAGCATGTTTCAAAATATCCAACAGTTATCTAGCCGAGCTCTTGTAATCAATAATTAAATCTACATTGCGGCATTGCTCTGAGCCATGTGCGCGAAATGGAATTGTATGTTTCATAATACATTGTCATCGAACAAACATTGCATGCATGAACCAGCTTTCAATGTCTGATGGATCCATTTGAGGAAGCACTAACACCAGAATTCTATTCATTTTTCTGCTCGCAGAAAAAACGTATGATTCTGGCTTAGAAATTGTTCGTCAGCTCAAGTATGCTTTCAATCGCTTTTTAATCCACAATAGGAAAATTATGAAATGACCAACTCTGTTTACTTGAAGTTAAACTGTTCATCACTAAGCCACCAATTAAATCGACGCAAGACAAATTTGTGCCGCCTTGGAAAGTAGAATATTTATTATTTTTGTGCTATCAAGTTTAAACCAAACAGATAATTAAACATAGGAAGCTCCAAAAAATCTCTAATTACAGCAGTGAAATCATCCAGAAATTTCCTTGCCACATCTACGTGGGTCAGCGTTTTGCACGATATTTTAAGAAGGAATCGCTCGGATCCCCGAATAAAATATCAGCTGAACCACAATACTTCGAGTGACTGAGCAACAAGCAAGGTTCAGCGACTGTCAACATTTGGTGTTTTAAACATTTTTACTCTCCTTTCGTATGTTTTAACTGTAAAAAGTTTTGTTTTCATCAAATGAGCACGTCTACATCGAGGAACTTATAACAATGTATTATTCTGAAAGCAGACGCATACCTGCGTGTTGTAACAGCAATGTACTTTCACAATGAATATGACAATCGGCACCGTATTACGAATGCTCTGGCCCGATCGACTAGTGTGGGTCCACTTGTAGGCCTTGATGATGAGTGAATTAGAACAATTACCGACTCTTCTAAACAATGGTCACATCCATTCAACGATCCCATTTCTCTTTATGGTTTATTTGGTTTGTATATAACTGCAATAGCCTAACGAACAGTGGTCGAAAACATATCCGCCTACTTTGCGTTCGTATTATTTAATGGGCTGCCTCAAAACTATCAAACCAGATGGTTTGCCACACAAAATCTGCATCTGAAGGTGTTTGTTAATATGCTATCTCAAATTTTTGTCTTCTATTTTACACCAAGCTTAATTGGAATTTACCGCTAACATGGATGATATTACTTCGAATGAAATATTGAACATGCTAACTGTTCCCAATTTTGTTTAGCATTTTAAATCCTTTGTACATCGATGTGAAAAATTTAGCAGTAATAGCGTTCCAGCTAATTTTTATGAAGATTAAAACACATGCATTAATTTCATCGATTATCTCAAGGCGGATTATAAAAATGATAGGTGCCAGCTACTCTCGGAAATTTAAAAGCGTGAACGCTCATAAACATATTTCTAATTTTGGTGTCATCTGTAGCAACATCATACAACATCAAAATATAAATTATTTTGGATAGCCTAAGACTATCATCAATATTTCTATTAGAATTATAAATTTTCACCCGTTATGGACAAAATTAACAATTAGTGTAACTTCAAATACTGGCAACATAATGTAGTAAAATACAGTACTCATACGATAGTTGTGTAACCTAAGTACACTGCATGCCCGTTTTACATGTTTGTTTAGGTCTCTCTGGTCAGCAGCCTCAGAAAGCAGCACTCATGCGATAGATCCACCTCGCAATTATTTAAGTAAAGGTCGTAACAAGTAGGCCATGCCAGTGGTCTAATCAATGGACTGCAAAAAAGCTCTTTTACCTTTACCGATTACCACGTAATAAACGCAGATGTTCTTATTTTACAGTGCTATGCATGCTGCGTAAACACGTACTGCTTGACAAACTGCCTTGACTAATTGTGCTTTTTCTATTACTTGTTACTGAAAGTAATATAGGTGAGCTATAAAATCACCTCTGTTGATGCACATTGTAACACAAACATGTAAATGAACAGGATTTCAACTCATGCAGAATAGACTGTAGAATCATTCTGAGGTCATTTTGAAGTACACGTTGTGTGGATGCATTGCAACACGCAGTCTCAATGCTGAAGGCGATTCTAATTGAAGTGCCCGTTGATCATTCGATCATGATAACCAAAGATGGAACAGATGGATATTGGATGTTGCTCTCCCGAAAACACTGATCGAATTATCACGCTTCAATTGCGGATATTAAAGCAACCGCACAGCATAGTCTGAGCCACATAAAACCGGAAGAGACGCACGTGTAATAAGAATAATTCAGAATTGTTCCCACGAAAAAATAAAATTACCCCTGCTAGTATTCCTTCAATATACTGAATTCACTGTTGCGGTATGAAAAATAGCGTAGATTGTTGGTTCCCTCTGCACCTGGGCAGGCATTTCACAGATGTTTCACCACCATCACTTGTGGCAGTATGTTCAGTGTGTATAAGCAAATGTATAGTCCCTAGAAAACACAACTGAAGATCGTTAGCTAAGGGGCCATCCAGTGCACACATTTCAAGCATTTGTAACCAAGTTTCAACTTGATTATCTGTCTGCCGCGTCTCGATTGCCTGAGTGAATTTGGTTAGTTTATTGACATTAGTTTCGAAGAAGAATGAGACCATGCAGGTCCATTTATAAAATAGTTAATTTTCTCTAAGAACTCACTTTTACCGGTACTCCTGCATTGACAGACCACCAAATAATTTAATTCCTTCATGTTGCCGTCAAATTTCTTCTATTATTCGGGTGTCAATATACGGTAGCAAAGCCGATGTTTCCGTCCGATAGGTCTGTGCAGACAATCATGTTTCAAACTGTTCTACTCCTTTTACGGATTTCACTTTTTCAGGATATCTATTTCCGACGAACTTCAAGGACATGCTCCGTGATGAATTATGTCACATTTTGGTCCTGTGTTTCTTATGTTTCTCTATAACCTAACAGCTATTTTTCATACCGTTTGCTAGTCAAGTCAACACAGGATTTAAACAGCACTGTGGGAATATCTCCAGCGCTTTACCATAACAATACGCAGATATAACAACAGAATAATTTGAAAAGTTGTGCAAAATGGCAAGGAAAGCAAACGGCACGGGGTTTGAGGGTAGTTGCGCAGCATGACTGTGTTTGCTCGAAACAAGAGAGAAAAGGCCTAAAGAACAGCTAGTCAATGACTCGCACTCTTACATACGGAGTTCCGGAAACTCGAGTTATCAACACTTCCGCAAATGCTGATTATTTAAGTGCCTACAGAATAGCTGTCTGAGTCTAACCTCCATGTTACAAACAATATTTAAAACACAAGGCAACCTAAACTTTTAAGTTGCGCCACCTACA